AATTATTTAAAGGAATTTTCAATTTGTCTGGATAGATCTGCCCTAGTAGGGTAAAAAATACTTTAAATGAGCAAAAACCTTAGTTATTTGAGAGGATTTGATGAGTGTAGATAATGAGAAGTGAAAAGAATCATTTAACATGGCTTCTTGCATAAATAGGATAAAGAGAACAAAAGAAAATTGTAAAGGAAATTTAGGGCAAAACCTAGGAACATTTCTGAACAATATGTGCTATTAGAATAAATGATAACCTCATGAGAAGTGTTTGAACGTTTCATGAGTTGGGATATTTAAAAGCAGATTGAACCAAGTAAACAAGATATACACACAGGAAATAATCTGGCATTGATAGAGAATAAGCTAGTTGATTTAATTGGTCTTTTGCATCTTAAAATTCACTGATGACATAAAACTAGAACAGATGTTTTCTTTTGCCTTTAGTTTTGGTTGCTTTGGGTATTGTCATTTAAGTCTAAAAGAAAGAAGCAGGACAGTTCTGTGGTAATGTTCTGGAAGCCCTACTTGCAGCAGGCCTTTTGCCAGGCCACACTATAAAATGTCAGCTTTTCTGTAATTATGTGCTTTCCTTTTTATTATGTATTATAATTTTTTCTTATAATTCTATAAAGTACTTTAAAAATAGAAATTAAATATATAAAATTATTGCGGTATTTCATCCTACATGCTAGATAGAGGCTTAAAAATACATATAGATAAAACCAGGAACAGAGAGGAGTTGAATACTTGAGAAGCATAGGAAAGATGCCAAAACCTAATTTATGCAGAAAAACATTTTTGTTGGTGGTGGGGATGGAGAATATTTTGACTAATGTTGAATCATAGCAGAAAAAGACAAATCTGAAAAGGGGCAAGAGCAGGAGTGAGAATACTAGGGTCAAGATTTGTAGGAACTAAGGAAGCATGGGAACTAGAATTGCTGTAGACTATTGTTCCTTTTTCCTGTTCAAATGCTCTAGAAATACTTGTTAGTTCAGCATAAATGACTCAAAGTCTACATTTTCTAGTTCCTGTGGTATTATTCACCAAACAGTATGCTTTGGCATTGCCCAATATGTGTATATGGGAGGGGGAGAGAAGAGGAGAGATGACCAGAGATAAAAGAGGGAGGTTTGGAATAACATTCGGTCTTTCTTTTCTTCACACTCTAGTCAGCAAATCCCACACGAGTATTTCTGACTGATTATTAAATAAGAAAAGTAAGTATATTTCATGTTAAGGTAATTTCTCTTATTAAAGAGAATAACCTGTGCCTCAAATAACACTGATTAAAAAAGATGGTTATAAAACCTGATATGAATTTTCAGCTTATTTATTCCTTTTTCTGGGGAAGAACTTTCTTCAAAGCTATGTACTGGGATGAAGCAAAGGCAGTCTTGGCTTCTTTCAGAAAGTCTGTTATCTACATGTCTTAAACTTGCAGCCGTTCATCAACTATTAAGAAGCTCATGGAGATCCAGATGCCTCTTCTGTTACCTGCCTGCTACCCCTGTAATCACAATAAACAGGATTTGGCCAACTCTGATTAAATGTTTACTATTGTTCAGCTCTGGGGCTTTTAACACAATAAGTTGTAATAGTTCCTGTTCAGACTTCGCATCCTGTTTTTATAACCTGTACCCTTAATAATTGAACAGGTTGCTTCTCAGGAAGGTTTTTGAATGATTCATCATCTTACCAGTTCTGCATGAGGTTAATGATTTCAGAAAAGTATTATTGCTTGGTAACATAGTTTAAATTGCTATGCGAGTTTTGCAAGAGTGTCTATGCAGGAAAACATATGCATGGATTTCTCAAATTCTGTAGTGTGGAATGAGAAAACATTATCTTAGCACTTGCAACTTTTTCTTGATCCTCTGATTTATGAGATATCCCCCCCATTCCATTTTGCATGTGTTTAGAAACTTAGAAGAAAGTTGTACAGTGAGTAGATATTTAGAGTCAGACTTGGATTCAAATCCTAGTTCTTCTATTTACTAGGAGTAGCTGTGTGATCCAGGAAAAGATATTTAATCTCTTTAAACCTCAGTGCCCTCATCTATAAACCTGAGAATAATAGCACCTACTTTACAGGGCTGATGTGAATATTAAATGAGATGCTGTATGTAAAATGCTTACTACACTGTATAACACTTAAGAAACATTAAGTGAGAGCTATTAAAGAGTACGAATGATGAATGTTACCAAGTGTGATACACGGAAGTCCATTATTGTTTGAATCTTTTCTTCCTACAAAATAGAATAAAGCAGTTCAGGTTAGTCATTATAGACAGCAGACTTAGTTGTGCTATTGAGAAATTATGTTTTTCTCCCTCATAGTTGCTAATTCCTTCCTAAAACATTTCTTAACTAGTTTGCTATCACTGAGTACTTTGCATTCCTGAGAAATAGGTTGAATTTGTTGTGGTGATAAAGATAGAAGACCCTATTTGTCTTTCCAAGAAAGAACAACAATCTATGTGCCCA